GGAAGGAAGGAAGGAAGGAAGGAAGGAAGGAAGGAAGGAAGGAAGGAAGGAAAAGAAGAGATGTTCTGAGCCATCCAGGCTGGCAACTCAGCTCCAGCCCAGCTCAAAGGGAGGGAGGGCTTTGGGGCAAAGTTGCCCGGGGAAAGCAGGGGCTGGCAGAGCCCTAGGCAGGAAAGATGTACCTGGGGGGGTGAGCCAGGAGGGGCGGCCAGAGAAGGAGGGAGCAGAGAAGCCCTGCCTGGGGAAGCAGCAGAGCGAGGGGGGGGCGGAGGGCCCCTGCGGGCCACAGAGGGCCTCTGCAATCTGGCCGGCGGAGGGGGCTTGGGGGGGCCACCTTCTGCCACAAAGCGGGAAAGCATCTCCCAGATGTCGGCGTCCTGTCTCAGCTGGGCTTCCCGGGCCTGATGGGGGAGCAGAGAAAGAAGGGAAGAGAAGCAGAGAAAGAGCGAGAAGGGAAGAGAAGAGAAGCCGAGGGCGGTGGGCTTCCACAGTTCCCCAGGTCCTTCCCTCCTGACTCTCACACCGCCAAGCGGCGCCCTGCCTCGCCCACGGCACACTCCGGGCCAGGGAGGCTCCGCGCCTCTCCCGGGCCACGCCGGGCCCGTTACCTGAGCGGCTCGCTTGCCCCTGCTCTCGGGGGCCAGGGGACGGGGGATCCGCCCCGCGGCCACCTCCTTCCTCAGCTGCTCCTCCGAGAGGGACGTGGAGTTCTGCCGGGAGGGACGGAGGCTGGTGAGCGGCCGTGCCAGCTCCCCCCTTCCGGAGCCATCGCCCCGAAGGTCTCCCCTCGTCCCCGAGGAGCGCCAGGACGCAACAAGAGGCCAGCTGCCAAACTCTGGCGGGCAGGGTGAGCCACCACTGAGGGGAGCCACCGCGGGCGAAGGGGACGGCCGGAGCCCCACGCGCTGGGAAAGCACGGCCCCACCGGCACCTCCCACCAAGGCCGATCCCCCAGCGTCTCAGCCCCACGTGCCCCCTGGCCTTCTGCCCCGTTCCGCCCAGCCTCCCCTTGCAAGGGTAAGCCTCTTCTACAAATTTGGAAGGACGCTGGTGCCGAAAGGAGAGGCTCTGGCAAGCGAGACGCATCGGATCCCCCGCATCTCAGCCAAACACCAGGGGTGTCAGGAGCTGCCCCAAAGCCTCTCGGGCTCATCCTGCCCTGCTCCTTTATAGGCCCGTGCCAGTGTACCTTGTGGGCACGACGCATCCGGGCATAATAGGTCTCCCCCTGGCACGCGGTTCGGGTAGAAAAGAAGGAACAAAAAGCAGGAAAGAGAAACAGAGAAGTCAGGTAGAGCGATCGCTGCCTTCCCACAGACCCTGGCCTGATGGGAGACTCCCAATGGGTGTGTATGTGTGTGTGCACGGACGCGTGTGTGTGTGCCAGAAAGCATCCCAAGGCCACAACGTGCCTCCCCCCGATCCTGATCCAGACGCCCACAGCTCTGCCCCCTGTAGAATCAAAAGGGGGAGAAAAGATGCCTTTGGGCAGCTCATGCTGAAACTTGTGGCACTTCCTGCCACCAGATGACGTGGCCCTGATGGTTTTAGAGAAGGGGAAGCTTTTAGGTATGAGAAAGGCACGCAGGTTGGACAGTGGCGGAAAGAAGCCTGCCAGGTTAGAGGTAGGGACGTCGTGCGCCCGTCTGTGGTCTCGGTTCAGATACCGTGCGCATGGACTCCGGAATCTACCTTGACTGTCACGTGGGCTGGGGAGAGGAATGCAAACTGGAGGGAAACCCAGGGAACTCCTGTGACGCCAGGGGTCGGAAGGCCCTGATGCCCCTTTGGGGCCAGCCTCCTCCGTGTGGCACACTCACTGGAGGCGTGGACCTGCCAGCTCTATCCTGGCCAGCCGGCAAGGCTTGCAGGGAGGGGCAATCCTTTCTGAGTCCTGCACCCCAGCGCCCTCCCACCCGGACTCACCTTGTCCCCCAGGTAGGCGTCCGGGAGCTGCCAGTAATAGGACTCCTGGCCCAGCTCCCCAAATCCGCCATAGGAGAGCTGAGGGCCCTCGGGGGACATCTCCACCACAAGGCCGGTCGGGAGGCGGACGCTGCGCTGCCGGTTGATGAGCGCGAAGCCCTGGAAATCTCCAGGCTGGAAGGAGCTGGTGACCTGTGGGGGCAGCGCAACCGGCTCAGGAGAGCCTGTCGGGAGACCCCGTCTTCCCCCGCATCCCCGGCGGGAAGCTCCATCGCCTTACCACGTCCCGGTAGTAGGACGAGCTGGTGCACTGCTGGGTGACCCCCATGCAGAAACAGGGCAGGCAGCCCGCCGGGTTCTCCGCACTCAGGTGGAAGTGGTGAGGGCGGCAGCTGTCGCAGGAGAGGCCCTCCACGTGGCCCTGAAGGAGGCAAAGGCGGCTGTTGCTCCGAGCGGGGAGGCAGGAAGCAAGGGAGGCTGGCTGGGGCACGGCTGGACACCTGTGGGGATCAGGCCCAGCAGGGGCAGGCCTGAGGGGAGAGGGCGAGCAGGCTCTGCAGAGTGGGCTTGCGAGGAAGGGGGGGAAGCCCGAAGGGCCCTCCCTCTGCCCTCCCGGGTCTCCCCCCGCCTCACCTTACACTGGCATTGCCCACTGGCATCACACTGGCTGCTGACACTGCCCTGCGGGTGGCAATGGCACCGGGAGCTGGAATCTGGTGGGAGGGGTAGAGGAAAGGAGCTGTGGTCTGGTGTGGGCCGGATGGTTCTTTCCTGCCTCCCCCCTGGCCCCCTTCTGTGCCATCGCGCGAGGTCACACTTGGGGCACCCTCTTCTGTCCGCCCTGCTCTCAGTCTCACCGGTCCAGGACTGAGTCCACCCTCCTGCGGGACCAGCCCCCAATCGCCCAGCTGTTCTCCTTCCTCTGGAGGCAGAGCTCACCTGTGCAGGGCTGACCCTGGCTGGGGTTCCCAACGTAGCCGGGAGCACACCTGCACCGAGAGATCAGGGTTCAGTTGAGGAAGCCGGCCCCCCCCCCCCCCCTCTCCACCACACCCGCACCCCCCTCCCCCGACCCCCCCCCCCCCCTCCACGGCCCCCGGCAACCCCCCCCCCCCCAACCCCCTGCAACCGCCCGCGCCCCGCAGACAGAACCCCGCTCGTCATGTGGGCGG